TTCGAGGAGAATAAGGACATGCTTTAGAGGTTACGAAAGCATTCTTTGAGGCTGAAGTCAAATGGCTAGAAGCTAGGTGATAAGATTAGCTAGTCATTTCCCCCGCCCCCCAAACCAATTCAAAAATATAGAGATAGGAATTAGGATAGAAGTGAATGATAGAAGAAAATTAAATCTGAATGGGATACTCGTTCTGAAAAACAACTAAAGCAGCTTTCACCTGAAACAATTTCTTTTTTATTTATTTCTTCTTTTTTTTGCAACCGTAAACATTCATAGTTGACCTCCCATCCACTACGTCCCCACACACCCCACCCACCACACCCCACCCCACCCCCCTTGAAATGTTCTGCATCGACACTGCTATCATTAATAAAAGTTGGTACCTGAAATGGATTTTCTGGTTCTTCATTTATGCCATCATCCTCTTCTCTCTTTCCAAACTTGCAAATTTTATTACAGACTGTTYTGCAGCCTATCTTTACCCAACGGCCCCCTCTGTGGACATGACGGCAGCCGGTTTGTCTGCAGACGTTATTGCAGAATCGTCGTCGAATGGGGATTCTAATTCTAAAGCGGCGTCGACGACGGCCCCAAAATGCATCTGCATCAGGTAGAACGAGTACGGCGACCATGAAAAGAACGAGCAGCAATTTGGCGTTCATGTTGTCTGAAAATAAAACACTGTCATTAATATTTGGGAAAAATAGATACKKGATAGGGCAGGCATGAAGCTATTGAGTAAAGAGGTGAAAAAGAGAAAATGCAGGATCGGTTTGAAGCGGAATCCGGAATCAGAAATCATGCTTTTAAATAATTGAGGAATGGYCATACATCATAAAAAGATACTTGCCTGAAATCTAGCTCTCCTGCCTGAGGTTTATATACGATGAGTRATGAACCTGTACTGCAAGGACAGTGATTTTCTCACTAGTTCATGTCTGCTTTTATAGGTGTCGTTCCCTTTATACAACCTCAAGGGCCACATGTGCACGATAAGAAGGAGTTTCGTTTTAATTCTTTCAGTTTTAAAGGGAAAAAAAAACAAGCAAACATTTGAATGATACTGAAAGTTTTCCTTCCTGTAAGAAGAAAAAAGGCCATTGAACGTGACTGCTTTGGCATGCTCTGAGCAGCCGAGAGGCTGGGTGATACCCTGTCACTTCAGTTGATAGTTTTTGCTGACATATTTTTCTTAATTTAAAGTTGAAAATTAATTCTGATAAATCAGAGGTTGTTTGTCCAGCTGCAAAATGCATTCCATCGATGTGGCGTGTGCAATTCATAAAGTCAATTTCATTCACGTTGCTCAGTTGTAAAGAAAACAAAAATCAATATTAGGGTCGTGCGCGGAAGGGATGAATAAAATGGGGAGGGGTTCCACATCGAACAAACTGCTATAAATATTTAGTTTCATGACTTTCTCTGCCACCTTATAGCGGTTTCCATCCATCCATCCCTCCCTAGTAATCCCCAGCACACACCCCTGAACATCAAGTTGCAATGCCAATAACATTTGCTTTGCCATTTTTAGCTTGAGTTTAAGATTCAACTGAATCCTTCCCTRGAATTTCAAAAACATCTTTATCAGTGCAAGTAACGCTGGTTGTTGATTGTCTTTGTGTCAATGACGGTCACAGACAACATTTGTTAAAGTCCTCCAAAATAATGACCGATGTGTGAAAACGAAGACTGACATGACTATAGCGTGAATGTTAGAACTCAATAAACACCATCAACAAAGTTTAAGTTGGTGGGAACTAGCGGTAAACTAGTGTGAGCTGCGTCGGTGTTACTAAAGAAACAGTTATGTAAAAAGATAAATTTAACACCGTAAAAAAGTATGTGGAAAAACTTACTGACGTTTCGGATGTTAATCCTTCGTCGGAGGATTAAC